ACAGGATATTTTGAGTTCTGTGCGGTTTGAATCGAATAGAAAATAATCTGGCTGTTGGAAATTAAGGCTTCAGTATAAGTAAAGCTTTGTAACATTGTTTTATTCGATTTCTGATAATTTGGTAATTTTCTGAAATTGTGTATTTTAACTCTGTTTGGAATTCTATCGACTGTACGAAATTTTAAGGAGTTTTCTAAATTGAGCCAAATCATGTTTATTGATTCCAATGCATTTATGATATGCATATAAATGTGATTATATGATTGAATTATTGTTAATGTTACTGAAAGACAAGTGAAAACTGGTTGAACCGTTGGTTGAAGATTGATTTGCCTTGTACAGGATGGTGGGCCGACGGGCTTTCCTTTATAAAGGGTTTGGTGTTATCCTCTGTTGATCATAGATACAATAATTGGGAGTCATAAGGAGTTTATGCCGACGGACGGCCGACGGGCACAGAGTGACGACTCTTATTGAGCCAACGGATATAACGACACAATGATACATCGATATCGAAAAACGCCTTAATAGTTAGTGATTGTAGTTATTCAGTAAGACTATTGTATTGAATTGCATGTGTACAGAATTGTCTTTATGATCTCATTACAGATTTATAGATTTATTGATATCGACGGATTTAATGTATTGGATTGATTTATTGACGAATGGATTTACTGATGGATTTATGGGTTTACTGTTATTGTCGATTCATTGATAATGCATATTGTACGTGTCACTGTACATAGATACTGATATTGATATGGATATTGATATTGTATTGATTCATTGATACTATGGACATTAATAATATTGATTCATTGATCCTATCGCTTCTTTGATACACTGTATTGAACTGCTGCATGTGATTCATTGATCAATATTGAATAGGTTTTACTGTATTGATTTGATTTTAACCGTTCTTGCGATGTATTGGTTTAATTGTTTTATATGATTTCATACCGATTGATATTATTGACCAAAGATGATTGATTTGATTGATTTCATTGATACGATGTTGATTTAACTGATATTATCGAGACGATAATTTTTCTCTATCGATTTGACCGGATTCTTCCGAGATTTAGTGTTATGGATTTCTTCCTACTATTTATCGATTATTTTACCGATGATTATGGATTGTATCGATCATGCATTGATTACTGATGTCCGTATCTGCTTCATAGATTCACTGATCATGTGTAACTGACTGTTACGAATTTGATTGATTGACATGCATATTATTTCAGTACCGTGCTTTCATTTCAGTTGTAGGTTTTTGGTGACCTGCTGGGCTTTTTGAAGCTCATTATATATGGTTAATATTTTTAAGTCAGGGCAAGGGAGCAGGAGATTGAGGTTGATCAGGAATCCTTAGGTTTTTGTTCTTTTTGGTTATAGTGATTCTTTTGTACTCAGGACAGGATAGATTTCATTTCATGTGATCATTGTGTAGGACCTGAGTATTATATATGATCTTTTGGGATATGAATAGAATTGTACATTGATGTTTTAAATTATAGAATTTTGTTAGACTATTTGTTATTGATTGAAGACTATAGATAGCTCTGATAAATGATTAATGGTTTTAATGGATTGATTGAAATTCTTTTCAAGTTAGATCTTAGGGCATTACATTTGTTCTTTGGAGCGATCATAAAGCGTTGCAATTTATTAATAGTCATAAGTCGATTAATCTCATGCATGCTTGTTGGATACTCTATTTGTAACGTTTTACATTTGTTCTCAAACACAAGATGGGTGCAGAAAACAGAGTAGCTGATGCTCTCAGTCGTTGCAATGCTCTCCTTATCCAGCTTCAAATTGAGCTAACAGGAGTTGATTGCCTTAAGGAATTGCATACTGAAGATAAAGATTTTCAGTATATTTGGCATGCTTACTTACAGAACGGCTCCTAAGGTGATTTTTGCATTTGACATGGTTACCTTTTTAAAAATAATCTATTATGTATTCCTGATTCGTCGTATAGGCATCAACTGATTCAAGAGATTCATAGTGGAGGCCTTGCTGCACATGTTGGTTGCAACAACACCATAGCTCAGCTCCAAACCCGTTTATATTGGCCTCAACTACGTAAGGACGCTATGCGATTTGTAGAGCGGTGTAGTATTTGCCAAAGCTTCAAAGGAGGCAACAACAACACTGGTTTATATTTACCATTGCCAGTTCCAGACACCATATGGGAGGATTTAAGTTTAGACTTTATGCTTGGGATACCACGTACCAAGCGGGGCAATGATTCAATCTTGGTGGTGGTTGATAGATTTTAAAAAAATGGCTCACTTCATTGCCTGCAAGAAAACATTTGATGCTTTAAATATTGCCAAATATTTCTCAGGGAAATTATTAGGCTATATGACATTCCAAGAAGTCTTACTTCCAATCGAGATGTAAAATTTATCAGCCACTTCTCGAGAGAATTGTGGAAACGACTAAACACAGACATCCAATTGAGTTTGGCATATCACCCTCAAACAGATGGCCAAATCGAAGTCGTCAATTGAACCTTGAGCAATATGCTTCGCTACTTGGTACAGGAGCATGTGAAATCTTGGGATGACCTCTTGGCTCAAGCTGAATTTGCTTATAATTCGATGTCTAATCGATCTACAAATAAGTGCCCCTTTAACATAGTTTATACTAAGACTCCTAATCACATTGTTGATGTTTTCATGCTTCCCAAATGCAAGAGTACAGCTGTTGTGTCTCTAACAGACCAGTTTTCCACCATACTCAAGGTCATCCGCAACAAGATAACTGAATCTATCAGTAAAAACAAGCAGACCGTCGACCAGCACAAGCGTGAGATAATTTTTTCTCCAGGAGATTTGGTAATGGTGCCGTTGAGGTGTGAACGAATCACTCCCGGAACCTATTCTAAAAATCGTCACAAAATTGGTCCAATACCAGTGTTAAAGAAGACAAATGACAATGCTTATATAGTAGACTTGCCCACCAACTATAATACTTCGTCTACATTCAATGTTGTGGATATCACCCCGTATCATCCACCTGATGAAGCACCAATTGTTACGTTGAACAGCTCTTTTTTAGCAGGAAAGATCTAATGCGGAGCATCATAGTTTAACGTCACCTCCAGACTATGTTATCATTTTATTCTTAGTTGTTATTCAGCATCGTTCTGTTTTATTTAGCATTGCATTTTCATTCTGTTAGTACGAAAGCACTTTTGTCGTTTCATCCTTTAGAAATTACTGGCTTGGTGGATGCATCCGCCTAAGCCTCATATATATAGTTTTCTTACTTAGAGAAGGAAGACTTTTGATTGCTAATTTTTACAAATAACTTGCATTATATATGTTTTCATTTCTTTTTTGCCTCTTCTGCAGGCGTTGCTTCACTTAGGCTCGTTAAAAATAGAAAACTTCATAAGTTCCCTCGACGATGATGATTGGAGTAAAGTTCTTATCGGGTACATTAGCCAACAACCATACCAGTGAATTAGTCCCCACTATTGGCAAACATACTGACAATTTGACCTCCCCGCTCCAACACATAATTAGCTCTGCATCCGCTTCCATGCGCGACTACAGACCTAATCACTTGTGGATCCCCTCTAGCACGCGACCAGTGCTCACATACCAAATAACCCGCAGCTTCCCTTTGCTCAAGTATGCGACTAGTATCCGCAAACCAAACTGCTCATAGCTCACCTTCGCTCCAGCACGCAACCATATTCACCTTCTCTTTTTGCATGCGACTTTTGGTCCGACCTGCTTGAGGTTCCCCTCAAATAATGCTCTAGATCGTGCGACCCATGTCTGACCCTCGTCCCAGTTCGGTCTCATGCTCGTCTACACTTCTTGCTCGATCCCATGCTTGGCGTCCAACCCACTCGAAATTCGTGAGCCTGCCTTTATTGCCCGTGCCTAGTGCCCACACCATCAAATCCAAGATATCGTCTAAACCTTGGCCAACTCACCCTATCAAACAACCAACTTTCCAAATAATGCTCTGAATTCTTCAGATACTAAGAGAGCATGATGCCGTGCATCTTAGGAATAATATACATGTCTTGTACATATTTTCTATAACTTTCTAGAAAATTCTATTGTTATGTTATATACATAGTTACTATTGTAGGAAGAGATGAGATATGAAATATTTTTAAAAATTACAACCTTTTAAATTTTATTTTTTTTATTTTAAGTTGTTTTGCTTTTCCTTCTTCAATGATTCTGTACATCAAATAGGAGGCATGAATTTAAAATCAAATTAATATGCAACTCATCTTGATTTGCAAGTTAGAATTTTTTATTATCAACTAAGAGGTCTTATATTCAAGACTTACATAAGTGATATGTGTGAATTCTTATAATTAGCCTAATTCTAAAAAAATAAAAATAAAAAAATTGTATAAATGCAAAGAAATTTTGTTGTAGTAAATCATACCGCCTTCATATCTTAACGGTCGACACTACGTCAGAATTTCACATCTCTTCATATGAAGAATTATGAAGACATGAGTTCTTTAACCAAACTCCTCATAATCTATGTCTTTACTTCTCCCCCAACCCCCCTTCTCTTTTCCTTCAACCTGCTCTCCCCTCCTCTCCTTCATCAAACCCAAGCCCTAGAAACCCTAAAATCTCATCAATCCACTTTCTAACGCCAAAGACATTTCCTTCTACACATCAAACTTCTCTCCACCGAACAAACTCGCAATCTGTTGGACAATTCAATCTCCAGCAAGACTGGCTCCATCTCCTCCAAACATCTATCGAACTAAAATATCTCAGCTTGGGCCTCTCCATACATGCTTTCCTCATAAAATTGGCTAGGGTTCTCGACACATTCTATGGCAACAACCTCATCAACATGTACTCAAAGTTCTGTATAGTAGAGTCTGCGTATCAGGTATTCGATGAAATGCCCATTAGAAACACCATTTCCTGGACTTCCCTCATTAATGGATATTCTTCCATCCATGACTTTGATAATCTATTTAGAACTTTGTTAAAATGCACGAGTCTGGTGAGAAGCTCAATGAGCACACTTGCTCTTGTATTTTGCACTTAGTGGAAGATGACCTAGGTATTGGGGAGCAGGTCCATGCTTTGGCTACTAAAATAGGCATTGAGAACAATGTTGCTGTTGGCACTTCTTTAGCTTCCATGTATGCGAGTAATGGCCGAATTGAAGATATGGAGTTTTTGTTTAGGGAAATGGATGATATTCATATCTGGTGCTTGAATTCATTAATCTTGGATTGCAAGAAGAATAAAAATTGGGTGAAGTCAATCTAACGTTCATATATCTGCTAGAAACTGGTCTTCAGCCCAACGAATATACATTCACAAACACTATAGGTGCTTGTGATGGAAGTATAAGTATAAATGAAGGAAGACAGATTCATGGTGTAGCCATTAAATGTGGTGCTTTATGTGAGATTTATATAGGAAATTCCCTTATTAAGATGTATGGGGAGCATGAATTGACAACAGATGTAGAGAAAATGTTTGGTACAATGAGAGATAGGATCTGGTCTCCTGGACTGCCATTCTTCCCATTCTTGTGAAGAGCATATTCAAAGATGGGATATTTGATGGGTTTGCCAAGATTTTTGAACTGGGTCTTGGTTTTGATTCTAGTTATTTGAGTATAGTGCTTGATGTCTGTTCTCAGTACTAAGATCATAAAATGGCTTCTCATATTCATACTTGTGTTTGTAAGCTTGGGTATGCCTCAGATGATTTTGTTTCTACTGCTCTTACTGATGCATATACTAAATTTGGGAGAGCAAAAGAAGCCAGGGCAGTTTTCAATAGTCTTCGGAACTCCAGCATAGCATCCTTCAATGTTATTTTAGATGGATCTTTGAAAACATTTGGAGCTGAAGATGATATAATGGTTATGTTTAGTAAGCTTAGGTCAACTAGACTGAAACCAGATGATATAACCTATACTAAGCTTTTGTGCTTATCAGCAGATCAGTCGCTGGCTGCCCATGGAAAAGCTTTCCATGCTTATGGGATTAAGACATGTTTTGATGAAGATGTTGCCGCTGGAAATGCAGTAATTTCTATGTATGGAAAGTGTGGATGCATTGGAGAAGCATCTGCTAAGTTCCATGAAATGATCAAGTGTGATATTATCACATGGAATGCCATAATATCAGCTCATGCAACTCATGGTGAAGGTCTGGAAGCTTTGTTACTTTATGAAAAAATGATTATAGAAAGAGTACAACCAGATGAGAGCACTATGGCATCCATTTTGCAAGCTTGTAGCTATTCAGGCTATTTAGATGATGGTATCAGAATTTTCCAAAGTTTGAAAGAAAATTATGGTATCAAACCTACACTTGAGCACCTTGTTTGCCTTGTGGACCTATTGGGAAGAAGGGGGATCTGGAACAAGCAATGAAGTTGATCAAATATAGTGAATTTCGAGATGAACCTCTGCTTTGGAGGAGTTTGGTAAATGCCTGCAAGTTTTGCGGCGATCGGAGTTTCAGCAAGCTTACTTCGACACGGTTGATCAATCTAGCACCAGGTGACTCTGCTTCTTATATCCTCAGTGCAAATATGTAATCTAAAAGTGGAATGCAGGAAGAGACAAGGGAAATGAGGGTGGAAATGAGAGAGCGAAAGCTAAGAAAGGAAACAGGGTGTAGTTGGATATCACTTGGGAATGAGGTTCATTATTTCACAGCTGGTGGAATGGATCACTTCAAGAGCAGAGAAATCCATGAGAGTCCTTGAATTCAGTCGCCACTTGAAAGAGATTGAGATGTGCTTCTGCAATGATACAACCCCACTGTGATTTTTTTTCTTTTGTAGTGGCTAAATGGAGCCATTGTCCCACCAAGTAAAATGTGAAGTTGTAAATATGAGAGTCATTGCTTGAAAGCATTGAGATGAGAAAATGCCCAAATGGCTTTTGAGATGGCATCAAGTGATGAAGAGCAAGGTGAGAGTTGCTAAGTAGAAGGGTATGAATTAAGCTTCAAGAAGTGTGATAATGAGACTAACAATAGGAGGTGACACTAAAGAAAAAAAATCTCATAATTTTGCTTGGCATGCGCTTTGCCATCTATCAAATAAAGCTATCATCCACCCAATTTAGGAATTTCCTAGGTTAAGAATAACTATTATGGGGTGTCTTATTGTTTAAAATATGCTCATTAGAGGTGGGGATATTTAACTATTTTATCTCTAGAAATTCAAATCATAGATTTTATCACTATACCACAAGATGTTAAGAGCAAATAATTACCAAATCACAAAATACATAAATGATGTAACAAACCTAAATCGTATAAGAGCAAATAATAGCGGTGTAAAAATGGGTCAACGGGTCGAGTTCGGGTTCAACCCGAAGTTGACTTGACCTGAATCCTATCAAATTGAACCCGACTCGCTAGCAATTTGAACCCAACCGATAACCCATTTTCATTAATTTTTTTATCAACTTTACAACCATAAATTTTAAGTTAATTAGTTTAAAATAAGAAGATTATATAGAGTTTTAGGGAAAAAAATATTAAACGGATCTTTTTTTGGGTCAAAATTAAGTTGGCGGGTCAACCTGAATTTTACCCACTTAATAAACAGGATAGGAATACCCGACCCACTTGACGACCCTAGAATATAATACTGATCATAAAAAATTAATTAAATCTTTTTGGACTCATGAGTTTAACAATCTTTCTCATTTTGATGATGACAAATATTTAATAAGGAGCTCTTTACAAGATCATGATTTGGATAATAAGTTAATAACCATCTCCCTTATACTAAGCATTTATATTTTAAAAGCTAATGTCTTATAAGATATTTTTCAAAGCAGATTTCACACAAAAGATTACAAGTACAATTGATACACAATAGACATATAATTATATAAATGAACTAAGAAAAAGAACATGCTTTCATTAAGGTAATAGTCATAATTATTAATGTAATTTTTCTTAATTAATTTTCTTATTTAAACTTCTCTAATCATACAACATTCCCCATACAACAACTATTACCCCTTATCACAATAAAAAGGGTGTGACCCTCACACATACGAAAAATTATTATGTACGAAAGTCGAATGTCGTCTAGAGATCAACCAGAATGTGCCACATCACCATGTGCTCAGTATTGCGGCTCGGTATTGCTCAATACCGTGCATTAGTATTATTGACGTGGCGCGTTCTGGTTGATCTTCGGATGGAGTTCTGTGTCCGATCTCTGCACAGAATAATTTCTCCACACATACACAATATGACAATATTTTCATAAAAAAGTAAAATAAATCTCAAAATGTCATAAAAAACAAACAAACATAGATACTATAATGTCATAACAAATCAGGCTGATAACAACAAAGAATTTTGATACATGATGAAAAAACGATTCCTTGAATATTTATTGGCAGATTGGTGATAAAGTTATAAGTAATTACGGAAAGAACTTGAATTAGTTTGACAGAATCATCAATATCTTGTAGGATGGAGTGGCAGAGGATGCAATGTCCTTCCATGGACAAGGAGTGAAGGCTCATAGGGTAGTCATTAGAGAAGGAATTGCGGGCCTCTAAAATTGATGACTAATTAATAGAAATTCCATTGAAAATGTTCTACTAGCCATAATGTCCTCTCCCTCACTTGGAAAGGAGAAGAATGTTGAAAGGCCATCTTTATTAATTTTAAGCTTGAAACTATGGACATGAGACTTGAAAAAGAATAGACTATGCCATAGACAAGTTATTGTAGAACAAAATTAAGCCTCCATTAAAATGCATTCAATGATTATAATAGTCATTAATTTCTTTGACTTACTCTATTTATGAAAATATTTTTGTGAAAAATAATGTTGGATTCCTTTTAGAATGAATAATCCCCTACCAACATGAAATACAATAGCCTTTACAAACATGAATACTCTCATTATTATATATATCCTTGCACACAACCTAATTTTCAGTATATTCTTTCTAATAGTACATAATTTATAAAATTTATTTATTTTTACTAAAAAAATAACACATATGGTAGATCAACGGAGCTGAAGTGGGAGGAAATGGTTTCTTAAAGGAGATGTTGATGATGAGTGTTGGTACTGAAATTTAGATCACTGATGTGATCAATTGGTGGATTTTGAGGAGGGAGGGTTTTGAGTGGACTCTTCTAAGATGAATTAAGAAGAGTCAAGGCTAATTTGGAGGAGTTAATTTCAAGGTTGGAATAAGGCTGAAGGAGTTTGAGTGGTATCCATAATTCTTATAATTTGTAAAAAAAAAAAAGGATCTCCAACTTCTACCTAATGGATGTTCCTCTCCAATTATCCAAATCAAGTAAACTTGGACTTGATTTGAAAGTGAGGATATTTAAATTAATTATGGAGAGTTTGGTATGATTTTGGGAGGATTAAGTAGTTCAAATGTGCTATGAAAGGGATATAGATAAGTTTTATCCAGAACATACCAAGGTTGGGGATTTTTATGTGTTTGTTTATAAATTAGGATGATTTCATAAATTTCACTTAGAAATCAAGGAAAGTTCTTAGATGATATTTTAAAGTTTTGCGGTTTTATGGTGATGTTCTGATTTTTCATGTTTTTGGATTTTATATGAGAATAGAAATAGGTTAAGGTTATTGGGCTAAAATAACAAACAAAAATTAAAACTACTGCTGATTTGTTCTCTAAGATGTTGACTAAAATAACCCCATAAAATTTTGTGCTACTGAGTTATGAGATGTTGGCTAATAATTTGGAGATTATGGTGGGGTTTTATGAGGTTTACGTTGGTCAAATACAAGTAGGAACAAACTAGTATCGTAAAGTAATAGGTCTTGTTTGACACTAGCAATTGGGATTAAACATATAATTTGAGGGAGGACAATAGGTTTTGGAATTTTTATAGGGTGGATTAAAAGCACAAGAATGCACTAAAGAAGTTTGTAATACAAAATGAATGCAAGAAAATTAAACTTTTCTCACCAAAATGAAGGGTTTAAGAGGATCACCCAATCCTCTTGGGTTGGTAAAAAACTAAGCCACCAAAAACCTTAGAGTTTCTTCTCTAATATATGTTACAAAATCAATAATGCATTTAATTATAGTAAAAAAAGGGTCTATTATAACTAACAAAAGTCCGAGAGGCACACACTTTGGCATTCTAACTCAAAATAAAAAGGGAAAAAGAGTTGTATGGAGGGGCGACACACACTTCACCATAGAAGAATATTTTTCTTTTATTGGTTGGAGAGATTATAATCACTTTCTAGAATGTAGGTATCATTCTTTGTTCATAAACGTATGGATATATTATAAAAAATGTATTTAATTCACTAAAAATTAGCTAATATGTTTAAAATTCCCCCTCTTAAAATTAAAATTGAGAGAAATACATATAATATAATTCTTAAATAAAGTTTAAATTTTGATATTTACTTATACAATATTTTTTGTATGCCAATCATATCAAAATATATGTTTTAAAGGAAATATTTTATTTTAAAAAGTTTAAAAATAATAAATTTTTTATGTAATTTAAAATTTTGTTATTACATAAATGAATATATAAGATTTTACTATATGTAAATATCAAAATTTATTTTCATGCATGTGAATTCCAAGAAAATTATTTTTCTCCTAAATTCATTAACTTAGGCTCCTCCTAAAAAATTTCACCTTCCTTCTTACTTTTTCTTCTCGATCAGAGAAGAAATGGCACTTCATTGCAGCATTGGAGAATAGCTTGGCTGAGATGCGCAGGCAAGATGCAAAGCCATCTGCACCAACTCCAGCAGCAGCTAAGTTCTATACTCTCCGCCGCCCTACCTCAAAGCCCCAACGATGCGGCCTCCTCCCAATCCTCGCTGGAGGTAACGGCATCAGGGAGAGGGATCGACGAGTCGGCTCGAATCGCCGCCCTTGAATCGCTTCGACGCGCCGTCCTGTACCCTTCGAACTCCCTTCTCCTTCCCCACTGCGCCCATTTCCTGACCCAGGGCCTCTCCCAACTTCTATCAGACAAGTTAACTCTTCTCAGAGGCCAAACCCACCTTTTTTGTTTTTCATGAAATCTCTTTTCTTCTTTTATTGATAAGATATCCTGCTAATGATGGCTTGTAGGTCATATGGAGTTAGTCAGGCTGCAGCGATGTCATATGCATCTCTTTGCGCGGTATTGGCTTCTGCCACTTTGGCATCGAATGGGCTCCCCAACCATGTCCATGTTCATGTGCATGTTCTGGTCGATAGGTTTCTTGCCTGGGCTCTGCCGTTGCTTCGGGGCTTACCCATTAGAAATGGTTCGGCTGAATTGGCACTGACCAGTCTTCTGGAATTCCTTAGCGCTGGGGATGCGGTGACCATCGAAAGATATGTTCCATCTATTCTTAAAGCTTGTCAGGAGCTCCTTGAGGATGAGAGAACCTCCTTGAGTTTGTTGCACCAGCTTCTGAGTATTCTAACTCTGATCTCTTTGAAATTTGCCCACTGCTTCCAGCCCCATTTCGTTGATGTGGTGGACTTGCTCCTGGGTTGGGCTTTTATGCCTGACCTCTCTGATTCTACCAGATGCTTACTTACTGACAGTTTTTTGCAGTTTCGGAATCATTGGCCAAGTAATTTGCAGTTTTCCTTAGGTTTATTATCGAAGCTTTTGGGTGATGCAGAAGTTCTGATCCATGATGTAAGTGTAGAGACCACGTCACAGCTTGGAAGGTTGCTTTCTCTTTTCTCCTGTTTCTCGACAATTCTGCAGGCAACTGCTAATGGCATATTGGAGATGAATCTCCTTGGACAGATTAGTGAACCGCTCGAAAACTTGACTCCCCAGTTGCTGAGGTGCATCTCGATGTTTGGAAGGAAATTTGGATGGTCGAAATGGATGGGGGAGTCTTGGAGATGTTTGGTTATTTTGGCTGAAATACTGAATGAGAAATTTTCCCAGTTTTATCCTACGGTCGTTGACATATTTTTTCACAGCTTGAGCGGAGTTCCTTCCTATCAGGTGCTTGGATTTCTCAAGACAAACTTGCAATTGCTGTCTCTTCAAAAGCTGGGCCTCCTCTCTTCAGCTGTTGAGCTTCTGCTACAATTTCACTCACCTCTGTCCCATCTGCGGTTGCATCCGAATCATTCTGTTGTTGCAAGCACGGCTGTTACTTACCTTTACTTTCTTCAGCATGGTTGTGATGACATTGTTTCTCAAGCAATCACCTCCTTATTTGAAGAGCTGGAGCTATTGAAAAGAAAGCTCGCAGAACTGCATCAACCAACCGTAAATTCTGTTGTGATTCAGCTGGATACTGGAGCTGTTGGCATTCAAAAGACTAACTTTGGTCATGGAAGGCAATATTCAGAGCTTGATTTACTTTCATTGATCAAATTTGATTTAAAGGTGATAATTTGTTCAATGTCCGTTGATACTGCTAGAGGTTTTGCAAACCAGACTGTCACAGATGCTACCAGAAATAAGAGGTCATCGAGAATAACTTCTTTTATTCTTAACAAGTTTGATCCTTTTCAATTCCCCATTGAGGGTCTCTGCGAGCTGCAAGCTCATGTTATCAGGACATTGTACAAGTCCAGTGAAGTTGAATTCCAATCTAAGTTCATTGACAGTGCAAAATATTTGAAGAAAGCATCTATTAATTTGAGCGATCAAGATCAACCAAGCTTTGAGGCCAGCAATAAGCAGTATATTCTAACTTCTGAGTATTTGGGAAAATTCAGTGGAATTATGGTAAGAGCTTTAGATGTTTATTCTCCTTTGACAGTTAAAATTGAGGCCCTTGGTTGGATACGCTCATTTAGTCAAATGATTTTAACTACGAAAGAGGATGATCTCCTGATAAGTTCATTTAATGAACCATATCAAAACGCCACTATTGGTACAGACTTGCTCTTTTGTATTCTAGATGCAGCATTTACTAGAGAACTGAAGGTGAGATCTCATGTTGCTCCTGTCCTGGAACTCCTCCTGCATGCCGGGCTTATTCATCCTGGGAACTTCTCCAATGTCTCGGAAGTTGCCCTCTACAAACTTAGTGATCCAGATGAGACAATAAAAAATGCATTTTTGCGATTAATTTCTATCGCGGTGCCTGTTTTTATATATATGCATGGTATTACTGACGGGGGTTATCTCTGCAAGCTTAAGCCTACCACTAAACCATATAGGTACTACTTGAATTGGAGGCAGGCATTAGCCCTAAAGCAGATGCCTCAGAAGCTTCATTCTCAGCAACTTGTTTCTGTTTTGAGCTACATTTCTCAACGATGGAAATTGCCCCTTTCTTCTTGGATACAACGGTTAGTCTTCAGTTGCCGTGGAAGGAATGATCGAATTTCTCATCAAGAAGAACTAATTGGAGAACTTGTTTCTAGTGATATTTATAAAGATACCAAAGCAGAAGAAGTAATTCTTCAGAAGATATGTCCGGTAAACAGTCTGGCTGCCATTTGGTGGTCCATACATGAAGCCGCCAGGTATTGCATCAATCTTCGTCTTCGAACGAACCTTGGTGGTCCTACACAGACATTTGCTGCATTGGAGCGAATGCTTTTGGACATACCGAATATATTGCAGCTTGATTTTGAGCAAATTGAAGGCCAGTACTTGGGCTCATCCAATTTTCACTTGCTACCAATGAGACTACTACTAGTTTTTGTTGAGGCCCTAAAGAAAAATGCATACAATGCATATGAAGGTTCTGCAGTTTTACCTCGTGCAACCCGGCAAAGTTCCTTGTTTTTTCGAGCAAACAAGAAAGTTTGCGAGGAATGGTTTTCTCGAATTTGTGAGCCCATGTTGAATGCTTGTCTGGCACTCAATTGTCATGATGCAACATTTTATTACTGCACATCACGGCTGCAGGATCTTAAGAATCTTGCAGCATCAACTTTTAAGGACAAAACACAGGGGATACCAGAAAATTTGCAGATCTTAAGAGGCACATTTGCAGGAGATGTACTGAAGGTTCTGCAACATGCATCACTGGCTCTATGTAAGAGTCGTGAGCCTGAGGCATTGATTGGTTTGCAGAAATGGGTTGGGATGACATTTCCTTCATTGTTTATGGATGAAAATCATGTCAGCTCCAGTGTCAATGGAAATGATATGAATTTATCTTGGATGACTGGACTTGTCTATCAGGCTCAGGGCCAGTATGAAAAGGCTGCTGCACACTTCTCTCACTTGCTACAATCTGAGGAAGCTCTTAGTTCCATGGGTTCTGATGGAATCCAGTTCATCATTGCTCGCGTAATTGAGAGCTATACATCTCTCTCTGATTGGAAGTCCTTGGAAAACTGGCTTTCAGAGCTACAGGCACTTCGTTCTATGCATGCCGGCAAACCGTATTCAGGTGCTCTTACTTCTGCAGGAAATGAAATGAATGCAATTCATGCATTAGCTCGATTTGATGAAGGTGATGTTCAAGCAGCATTGGGCTGTCTTGACTTGACACCTAAAAGCAGCTCTCAGCTTACCCTTAATCCTAATGTAGCATTAGAGAGGAGTGAACAAATGCTTTTACGGTCGATGCTGCAAATGGAAGGTGGCACTTATAAGGCGCTTGAGGACCTGGATAAGGCCAAGATGATGCTAGATGAAGCCTTATCTTGTATTCCACTTGATGGACTAACTGAGGGAGCTGCCTTTGCTATTCAGCTTCATTGTGTCCTTGTTTTGGAAGAAAGTAAGAAGCCAAATGGTCAACAATTACCATCAATGTTGGGCTCATTGTGTCGATCACTACATTCTCCAATCAGTAGAATTCATCAAGATAGTAGCTTGTGGATGAAGGTTTTTCGGATCTATCAAGCCATAATGCCAGCTTCTCATGTTTCAATTCTTCTTGGTCAAAGGATTCTTAGTTTATCTCGTAAGCAGAGCAACTTCAAGTTGGCTGACCGTATGACCAAATATTTGGAAGAACATCCTTTGTCTGAGCTTCTAGCAGTAAATATACAGTATGAAGGAATCCTACTTAAGCATGCAGCAGGAAAGCCTGAAGAAGCTTTACTAGATCTTTGGTCATTTGTTCGTGCTGACTTTCTGTCAAGTACTTCGTTTGGCTTCACGAACATTTCCAATACGAAGGCCAAGGCATGCTTGAAACTTTCTTCTTGGATGAGCCTAGAGAATTCAAACATAAATTTGAGAAGTGTTATTTCTAAAATTCATGAAGATCTCACTTTATCTAGAGCAGATGGCGCCTCTATTTGTAACAAAGAGGTTTTCTTGTCTGCCGATGGTAACCAAAACTCTGACACAAAATGGAATACTGTTTTTGAGGAGATAATTGGTACAACGGTAAAACTGTCTTGTAAACTTTGCCCCAAAATGGGGAAGGCATGGCTTTCTTATGCTGCTTGGTGTTTTACCCAAGCCAGGAACTCTTTTTCTGCACATGTCCCTGCTTGGCAATCGTGCTCATTGTCTTCAATCCTCGATGAAGAAATTTCACCAGTCAGGTTCCAGTTAACTGAAAATGAGAAGTCCAAGGTAAAATCCATTATTACTGATATTTATCATATGAGAAGTCATGCGGCAGTCGTAACAGACCAAGAAAGTAGATATTTTGACTCCACATCTTATCCTGAATATCAAGCATTCCTTGATTCGTTAGTACATGGAACAACTTACTTAATGGAAGCTGCAGCTGGAGCGCCTGGATTTGAATCAATTGATGGTGAATGTCCATCTGTTGTTCTATTCTCTGAATTGCAGGCACTTTTTTTGGGTGCATTTCCCGGTATAGAAAAGAGTGATACAACGTCTTATATTCAGGAATTAATTGATATTTGGTGGTCACTGAGACGGAGAAGGGTATCATTATTTGGATATGCTGCTCATGGCTATTTTCAATTCCTTTCACATTCATCTTTTGGATTGAAGGAAAGCCATTACACCAACATTCATCCTGACTATGCGATTGAAAAAGCTAGGAGCTGCACTCTCCGAGCAATGCTGTATATTTTAGTAATTCTTCTTAATTATGGTGTTGAACTAGAAGAAACTCTTAACCATGGATTTGCAACAGTTCCTCCATTGTCTTGGCAGGTAAGGATGTTCTAGTAGGTTTTTATGATTATTTTGTTTTCATTGTGACAATTGTTCAAGGTTTCACCTATTTCAGTTCTGCACTTCTACTTAGGAAATCACACCCCAGTTGTTTGCTCGGTTAAGTTCTCATCCTCAACAAACTGTCAGGAAGCAGATTGAGGGTCTCTTAATGATTTTGGCCAAACTATCTCCTTGGTCTATAGTTTTTCCTTTGTTGGTTGATATAAATGGTTATGAAGGTCAATCCTCCGAGGAGCTTCATAACATTCATAATTATTTGGTAAACCCTAAGTTATGTTTACAGTTTTTCGCTTATATCCGTATTGCATAGGATTAGTGCTGAATTTTTAACGATTCTAACATCTGATGCAGCATAATTTGTACCCAAAGCTAATTCAAGATGTTAAGCTTGTCATTAATGAACTTGGTAGCATAACTATTTTATGGGAAGAGCAATGGCTGAGTACCCTACAAGATCTTCATACAGGTAATTGGTGATTGTCTTCTTGTTTCTTCCTAAACAACTTGGCCCACATTGCCTTTTTCAGTTTAACTATACTTTTTATTCTGTCTTTCCCCTACGTTAATGCAATTAAAATATGTGGATTTTACTTTGTCTGCGTGCTGTTTACTTTGTGTGTGTGTGTGGTGGGGGTGGGGGGGGGGGAAGAAGAGAGAGAGAGGGGATCATTGTGCGGCTCTCCTCTCCTTCCCTTTTTTTTATTTGTACCTTCTTCTTCCTTGGATGCTTCTAGGGTCAGAGTGGTCCCTCTATATAGGCTGCTTCCTCAAACTACTATTATTTCAGAGGTTCCATTGGCTTACCCACATGCCATCAAATCATGCACCGACTACTTCTCGTAATCATTGTTCTTTTGCTTATGTTTTGGGTGGATCATCTAACTCGGCTTCGCATCCCTTTCTTTCTATCCACTTTTCTTTTCATGTAGATCAAGTGTTATGCTTCTTGATCTACATCAAGAATGGGAAGACACCTTTTTGAGTAAGTGTGGACTTTTTAAGGAATAAGAAGGAGAAGAAGAGTGACTAAAGAGAGAAACAAAAAATCATTCATTTCATAACAAATCTTTATAACTAGAGAGGTATTTATAGTATTTAGGTTGACCAACATATCACTAAACTAGCTAAAACAAGTAAAAGAAAGTCTAAACTAGTGTTTTATTACATATATGGAGAATCTTCATAACAAGTTCTGGGTTAAAATATATAGATTTTGATTTTTATGAAGATTATATTGATGGCAAGCAAAAGAAAATTAGTTTCTTAAAGACCGGTTTGAACAAAGTTAAAATTAGTGCATATAGATCTTAAGGTCCTGCTCTAGTTCTTTTTATAAGAGAATCTTCATACTTTTTCATTTTTATTGATGATAATATTTAAAGGTATGCGTATATTATTTAAAACATAAGTTAGGTGTTTTTGATGCTTTTAAGATTTGAACAGCTATGGCTGAGAGCGAGATAGGTCTAAGGTTGAATTATCTTAGATCAGATAATGATGACAAGTGTTGTGAGAAGTTTATGGAGTTTTGTTCTTTGAATGGATCCGACATGAATTCACTGTCCCAAGATCATCACAAGAAAATGATGTTGCAGAGCATTAATAAAACTAGTATCAGGACCTGAGATTGCATGCTGGTTTACCCAAATAGTTATGGGAAGAACTAGTCAATATTATTGTTTATCTGATCAATCTTTGTCTTTCAAGTCCTCTAAATGAAGAGCTACCTGAAGAAGCTTGGAGTGGCTTAGCGGCCAATTTATTTCACCTCAAAGTCTTTGGTTACACACCTCTTATGTTTATATTGATGAAGGATATAAGAGTAAGCTTGATCTAAAGTCATTTGAGCTATAAATTTTGAAATTATCATAATAAAAAAAATCTTCTTGAGCAAGGATCACATTTAATAAAAATAAAATGTACAAGAACATAAATGAGGCAACTTTAGAAATTTTTCTAAATATGCTGAAATAGAGGATGTTATTGATTAGGAAGATAAAGGTAAGAATTGTGCTCAAGCTGATGAAGCATAGAGAGTTTCTCAGACATTTGCTATTAAACATTGAAAATTTAGTAGAATATCATGATCTCACAAAGGTATTCTTCTTATATTATTTATTGCTGGCAAATGGTGGTGAACCATAGTACTATGATGAATCCATATAAGTTGATGATTCAAAGAAGTTGGAGTTAGTCATGGATGTAAGATGCGGTCAATCATGTCAAATCAAACTCGGGAATTGACCAAGCTATCAAATGACAAGAAAGCACTATATAGCAAATGGGTTTATAGATTGAAAGATGAATCTGATGGTAGCACACATTATAAGATTATATGTAGTAAAAGAATTTCAACAAAAGGAAATAGTGAATTAAACTAATATTTTCTCCCTTGTTGTGAAAATGACAAAAATTAGAATTGTGTTGAGCATAATAGCAATAGAGGTTCTAGAGGATTTATATCTAGAACAGATATATATAAAATCAGCTTTTCTCCATGACTTAGAAGAAGAGCTATAAATGTTACAACCTTAAGAATACGTGGTTCTAGGAAAAGAATATAAGGTGTAGACTTAAAATGATCCTATATGGATTAAAACATGTATCAAGATAATAGTATAGAAGATTTGACAAGTTTATATCAAATAATAGGTGCACAAACTATTAGACAAATCACTATTGCATCTTTAAATATTTTGATGACTTATATATATTTCTTTTGTATATAGATGATATGTTGATTGTAGAATCATATATAGAGAATATAAGAGAATTGAATGAACAATTATCAAGGGAATCTGAAATGAAAGATTTTTATCCAACTAACAAAATACTCAATGTGAGAATCAGTAGGGATTGGAATACAAACATATTGAAGTTATCTCAATGCTGAAAATGTCGAAAATGAGCTACAGAGATTCAACATGAGTAAGACAAAAACAATTTGCACTCTCTTAAATAGACATTTTTGACTATCTAAGAAACAATCGTCTAAATCTGAAGCAGAGCAAGAACAAATGGAGAGAACTTCATATTCTTTAGCTATTGGAAGCTTGATATATGCTATGATTTGTACAAGAACCAGATATAACATATGTGGTGGGAGAAGTCAATAGATTCATGAGTAACACAAACAAATATTATTGAGGGGTGGTTAAATGAATTCTTAGATACATGAGAGGGATGATTGACAAAGCATTTTGCTTTGGACATATAAGGATTGTACTACAGGGATATGCAGATTCTAATCCCATTGGAGATATTGATGGTAGGAGGAGCATAACTTGTTATATTTTTACTTTAGGAAATATTATAATGAGTTGGATTTTTAAGTTACAGAAGATTTTTGTACCCTCAATCAGAGAAGCTAAATATATTGCTATCATTGAATAACAAAAATATGATATGACGACTAAGTTTTATGATAGAACTTGGTAAATGACAAAGAAATGATAAACTACATAGCGAGAACTTGAATATTGTTTATCTATCCAAGAATGTTGTATTCTATGTCATAATAAAACATATCTAGCTTCTATATCTTTGGAGAAGATACACAACTCAAAAACCTATAAATATATTGGTAAAGATGGTAACGGTTGATAAACTGAAGCTATGTTCAGCTTCAGTTGGTCTTTATAATGGTAAGGCAGGATTGATCCATACTAAGTTTTTCTTTTATGATTGGTGTTGTAGGTCGGTAAAAGGATTTATCACAATCAGTTTCCAAGTGGGTGAATATTATTATTATTATTATTTGTAATCTGATTATGTTGATCAAGTGGGTTGCACTGTTGACTTAGATCTCAATTCAATTGGCCGAGCTCGACTAGGATTTTTTTTGTGTGTAACGCCAAGGTGCTATGGAGTTAGCATTGCAGTGCTATGGTTCCCTCTGGGAAAGAGAGCTCAGTGCAGAGGCGCTGCTGAACTCAATGCTGAGGTGCTGTGGGTATAGCGCTGCAAGTAGGCTAAGTCAATTTTCTATTCGTTTTTTGGAGTTGTAACCAATTGGTGGGCGAAACACTCTTGAATTTGCATATGAAAATGGTGGGCGTGAGTGAAGTGAAGAAGAGTGTGAATGTCGAAGATCTATACAATTTCTCCCATTTTCATTGTGTTTCTTGGTGTGGTATGGCTCCATGGGTTTTTTCCTTTTTCGCATTTTTTTACATTAAATTTTGGTGTTTTTTATCCGCTATTGTTTTTTTTTGCTTCGTTCTTTCTTTACTCTTAATAGTTGCTTCATGCTAACCAAACAAATTGGGTACATACTCACCAATGAAGTCATGGAATTTTTTTCATTGATTTTGGAAGTTCTCCCTCCTTACTATTAGTAAGGATATAGAAGATCTTCATGCTCTACTACTTGATGACTCTAATGGGAGCTTTTTGAACGATGTTTTAGTGGATAGGAAATTCCAAATCCTATTTATCAGATAGGGTCATAATAGAAAAAAATTATATCGTTACTCTCTAGTTTTTGTTAGGCTTCTAGCAAAGTGGTCTAAATAAATACTATTCTATCATTTGTTGTTTATGTTTCTTCATTTAATTGCATGCTTTATGCCGTTGATCCTTTTTTCTTTCTTCTATTTTTTTGTTCACCACTAACCACCTCCAGACCTGATCCGCCCAAACCTAGCCGCATATGCCTTCATCCCGACAAATCGGTTTGACCCATTCCACTTGTGGCCCCACCTCACATGGTTCACTACCAAATGTTGCAATTGTTAGCTCAAACAACTCAATCACCCGCTCGTTTTCACAAAACCGAGCGTAGAAACCGTCCGAGGGCCATTTGAATCTGACGCAAACAAGCCGCTCTCTTGATCTCTCACTCTTGCCCGCAGGAAAAGGGAGGAATCAACCTCCCACCTCTGTTCTCTGTTTCACGCGCTAGAGCCACACGACCCATTTTATCTTCGATCCTGCATACAAGTTGACCCAATCTCTCCTTCATGCCCTCGAACCCTCCTAGTCCTAGCCTCCTCTCTCATTCGCTTGATTCCGCACGTAGGAAGTTAACCCATGCACTTGACCGATCCCTCCTAGTCACCCGCAGCCGTCAGACTCGACATACCCATTGATCGATCTCACCGCCTCTTCCAACCTTCGATTTTCGATCCACCCACATATATATATATATACCTTCTACTTAAATTTTGATCAAATAAAAGACCCTCACAATTAATTCAAAACAAAATAATAACAACAATAATAAGAATAATAAAATCATATGTATCTAATTCAATATTTTAACCAAATGAAAATTCTAACCATTCTAAATGATTGTTGTTCAACACCAAATGACATAGGCTCAATTTTCTAATGAAAGGGCAATGCTATGCTGAAAAAGCCAACTGTCTACAAAAGAGAAACATAATTCTGAATATCTTGGAAATTTAATTTCAATTTCATCCCTTGAGATAATTATGCAGAGTTAAATGACTGGTAGGGTTGAAGGGAAATTTTTCGAGCAATTAATTGTTGATCAACCAATTCTAATCTTTATTGAGCATGCTAATGTTATAGGAACAACTAGAGGGATAACCAAAATGGTAAGTGTGGATTCTAGTGAGCTCTATAGCTGTCTCAGAAAAGAGAGCCCCTAACTATGTTTTAAATTTTAGGGTATTTTGAGTATCTTACTTGAAACAAATGACAATATTACAAAAGTGAGACCAAAATGTAGGCAAATTATTACAATGGGAACCTATATGGAGTTTTGTCAAAATAGTTGGCCTACATTAAGTGTGATGTATAATTTAGGGATAAAGATATTTCTCCAGCTATTGTTAATATTAAACAATTAGGCCTTCTTGACATCATTCAGAGATCATGCTTACCTCATTTTACTCACACTCTTAGTAATTGCAAACGTCAGCCATGTAGTAGTTTAAGTGACCTTGATGAAGCTACCAACTCTTCTTCTAGATAGTATATCATGCCCTTAAATGTAGTTGTTAATTAGACCCTTGCAAATGAGAGTGATTTCAAAATGAGGGAGCATGACATTGCATCAAAGACTATTCTTCGGAAGGCCATGGCTAATTTTAGTAAGGCATTTCTAAGACAGAATTTTATCAACTCAAACGAGAGCAAAGAGGCTTATCATTGTTAATGCGTTTAAGATTCTGAATCTATTCCTCGAGAATCTTCAAGATCTAAATTCACCCATCCGAAAGCATATTCAAGAATTTCAGAATGTTCAATATAGTAAAACTTCTATACAAAATCAATTGTTTGGTGAACTCCCAGTATCAAATGAGTTTCAGAAACAAAGTGGTCCTTACTTATTTTGGACAAAAGATAAGTTAACAGATGATGCTAAAGGTTCAAACACAATTGTTAGTTCACTCAGTTGAGAAATCAAAATATTTCTAGTACGATAGCTCTAATAGCTTCTATTCCATCACATTGTAATCTTGAAAATAAGGAATATAGAGAAAAAACTTTCTTCCATTTTTCACTCAAAGAAATCACAAGGAGGTTCAAAAATGTAATGCACCAAGCAAAAAAGGGGGAAGGGCCGAATTGCCATGGATGGCATTATGCATAAAATCCGATATGCTAAAATTTCTTTCACATGTGCTCTAATCTTTATGTTAAGCTCCTAAATGCGATATATGAGAATGCTTCACATTTTTGTTAAAAGTGTTAAAAAATCCCGATGGTCGTGTTGACAAAAAATCTCAGCTGGAGGGTATCCCAAACTATATGATGTCTCCTAAATTCTTACAAAATACATATATTTTCAAATAACCCTACAAAATACATGTATTTTCAAATGATAATTATGTCATCTCGATGATAACTGTGTTGACAGAAAATCTCAACCGAATGGGGGACCCAAACTTTCAAAATATTCATGAACCCTAATGGAAATACAAATCTTAAAAGTGATTGTAAAATCACCTCGATGATGATCGCATTGAATGTAAATCTCAACTACAGGGTCAATTCTCAAATCTTATTAAAATTTTGAAGTCTAATATCTATCAAATTCTAAATATTTAAATGAAAATTTAATCACCAAAAACTTAAAAATAAAATTTGTCCACACTTCACAACAGTTTGACAAGGATGATGAATTAAAGAATAATTTCAGCTCACAAAGAGCAGATATTTTGCTGAGTGTGTTATTATAATTCATTCTTAGTTTATTCATCGCTAGCAGAAACGTGGCGCGTACCCTCTAATTGACTGATTTTGCTGCAAAATCACACCACTATATTACGATTACGTCCGTATGTTCTCTAATGATTAAAAGCTCCTTGAATAATGAATTATATGGTGCATGTTATAAGATATAAAACTCTTTGTTAGCTAAGATTGACTTAAATTCACCACCTTAGACAAACATCCCCCAAGGTCTATAAGATATTCTTGGACGAAGCAACCCATGAATGCTGACAAGGTTCCTTCTATCACGTTGGGTAGAATACTCCTCTGACTAAGTAGTCAAGGGATCATGACAGTTCAGGATGATGGAATTATGGGATCTTGATCGTGCTCGTCTTCATTCCCCAATCACTCATTTTAAGTATATGGTGATAAATTTTAAATCATAAACTCCAAAATCCAATATCAAATTCAAACCTTAAAATCGTTGCTATTATATGTTAGGTAATTATTGCGACCTAAAAAAATAAAAAAATAAAAAAGGTCATTATTGCGACCTATTTAATTACTAGCCTTAATCAAAAGTTCTATCTTGTTATTGGAAGGGGTAATTAACCATAGGGGCTTGTGCTTATGAGAAACTAGAACTCATATCATAAAGTTCCTGCAAAATGAGGGCCAAATATCAGAGTTGTGTCTTATCTAAAACTCAACCAGCTTTCTGAAAATATAACCCGGAACATAAATCAGTTAAAACTCCTCCCATCAATAAAAGGAGGTACCGAGAAGTGGGGGCACGAATTTTCGGAGTCTACATTATTATGACAGTTCATAGTAATTTTTTTGTTAGATTCATATCGTTATTTTGTTATAAAATTACGTAAAACAATTAAGAAGATTAGAGCATGTGAATTATTAATTACTCCAGTTATCTGAAATCAATGATTCTTCCATATGCATGAGGGTTGTATGCCTAATTTAAACCTATTATGCAAACATGATCTTTGTTAGATGGTTCATTTAGCCTAGCTTTTCCTTCCCGGATTGCAGCATTAGGCTTGTAATTAGATGCATCATCGAGTCTGGTTTTGTTCTCTTCACTGAAAAATGGCTTGCATTTCTTTTTTTTTTAAATGCATGTTCTTGAACCTTATTGAATCATTTTTTGTGGCTATTGAACTATCATTTTATGGAAAACAGATGTTGTAAGGCGTATTAACATGCTGAAAGAGGAAGCTGCACGAATTGCCAAAAATTCCAGCCTTAGTCATGCTGAAAAGAACAAAATAAATGCAGCAAAATATTCAGCTATGATGGCTCCGATTGTTGTAGCCTTGGACCGTCGTCTTGCATCTACTTCTCGTGAAGCAGAGACTGATCATGAACGATGGTTCCAGGAGGAGTATGGTAAACAACTAAAATCTGCTATTTTATCCTTTAAAACCCCCCCATTATCAGGATCGGCACTAGGCGATGTGTGGCGAGCTTTTGATGCAATTGCAGCAGCTTTAGCAATCCATCAGAGGAAATCACTCTTCTCTCTGAGTGAGATGGCTCCAAAGTTGGCATTGCTTTCATCTTCCGATGTTCCAATGCCTGGTTCAGAGAGAGAAATTTCACTTCTTGATGCCTGTGGAAATACTGCTGGTGTTCAGGGGATTGTTACAGTTTCCTCCTTCAATGAGCAAGTAGAAATATTATCAACAAAAACAAGACCCAAAAAGCTTGTTTTATTAGGATCGGATGGTCAGAAATATACTTATCTTCTTAAAGGTCGAGAAGATTTACGTCTTGATGCACGATTCATGCAACTATTCCAGGCGATTAATGGTTTCTTTACTTCATCTGCTGAAAGTCTTGGTAAATGTCTTGGAGTACGTTGTTACTCTGTCACCCCAATTAATGGCCAAGCTGGACTTATCCAGTGGGTAGACAACGTGACTAGCATTTATAGTGTTTACAAGTCCTGGCAGAACCATAAGCAGCTGGCTCAGTTTTCTGCAACTGGTGCAATCAATCTTAGCAATCCTGTTCCACCAGTTCCACGGCCCAGTGATATGTTCTATGGGAAAATCATACCTGCGCTTAAGGAGAAGGGTATTCGAAGAGTGATCTCTCGAAGAGATTGGCCACATGATGTTAAAAGAAAGGTGCTCCTGGATCTTATGCAAGAAACCCCTAGATTCCTTCTTTGGCAGGAAATGTGGTGTGGCAGTGAAGGTTTCAAAGATTTTCATTCAAAGACAAGGAGGTAGTTTTACTCATCCGAGTGATATTTCAAATACCAACGGAATAATTTTAAATAAGTCCAGTGCGTTTGATATTCAATTATGTGCTTTCGCTCAATCTTTTCTTTTAAATTTCTACTTAAAAGACATCAATGAAGTTGTGATGATAATCAATATAGCAACTTTTTCTTCTGAACTTTATGATTCGTGATATTGCAACGCAGCTAAAAAATTTCATAATGAGTGTGAATTTTTACTGAAATTGATTTCCAAGACTTGAACTTTCAGCCAATTCAACTAAGGTCTTTTTTGGATTTATTGTTTAGCAACTTATTGCTTTTAACCCTTAAAAATGAAGTTTCAACTTGTTATGCTTGTTTGCAAACTATGCATTCATTCATATAATGCTGCACATTTGTTTGTAACGGAGTTCTTTTTAATTGCAGGTTTACTGAGATTCCTAGCTTTTTAACATTTATCCCCCCTTTTTTTTTCTGAAGACCTTTTAACACCTGCTGCAAGGATCTTTGCGGGCTGGCTAATTATTCGTTAATGTTGTTATTTGCTCGTTTATGAAGACTAGGCTTTGACAATCACCAGCTGCAATTAAAGCTATATCCGAAGTACCTCAGAATTTTATTGTGAATAGGTTTTTCTCATGCATTCTTACTAATGTTCATTGAAAACATTTTTTTTATCAGTTTTGCAACTCTTTAGAAAGAGTTTATTTTTTTTTTATTTTTTTTTTCTATTTGTAGAAAGAGTTACAATGACAACACATTTGATATATATATCAATTACTATGGTCTTTGGCTACCGTGTAATTTAGCTATTTCATTGAAAAAGAATTTGACTTCTTAGGATGCAATAGAAGTTATTGAGCATAAAATAAAGTCAGACATTTTAGAAAATATGTCTACAACAACCAATATACTATCATAGTAATGATAGCATCTAGCAGTGGTAGGAAATGCTAACAGAAAGTTGATTGATTGGTCAGCCTACAGAGTCAAAGGTTCAGAAAGAGAAGTATCCATGCTAATGTTTAATAGTTTTTTCTTAAAGAATGTGGGTTTCGAAAATTCGGCCCCGGCCTCCCCGTTGTTTTTCGGGGGAGTTTTAACAGATTAAGTTTCGGTGTAAATTTTGAAAGGTAGATTGAGTTTGTAGATAAGACACTATCCAGAGATTTCGTCCTTATTTTATGAGGACTTTATGATCTTTGTTCTGGTTTCCTATAGGCGCAAATCCCTATGGCGTACGTGAGATTATATTATTTTTTTATATTTTTTGTTATTTATCATATTAAAATAATACAAAAATCATATTGGAAGTTAACCAACTAAATAACAATAGTGAATAATTAATAAATGTGATTAACTTTTATTATGATTTTTTTATTTATTTTAATATTATAAATGATAAAATATATAAAAATAATAATTTAATCTCACATAGACCCTAATATATAAAATGCCCTCACATTTAACGTCTACCTTCAGATGACCCTGTTAAACCTTTCATATTATTGTCTAGTGTAGCACACATTTGAATCTTCGTTCTGTTTAGACCTCATGGTATTAGAAAGAAGTATAAATTATGTCCTAATCTTCTCCACTTTCCTATGTATAATTGGTTGGAGTTGAGGGAATTCACCATATTTAGGCATTTAATGTTTTTTTTGTCATAATCATTATCATTAGCATCTTAATCTGCAGATAATTTTTCATATTGTGGCTCTGAATTTGTTCATCAAATCTGTTACACTCAGGAAAATGTTTTCTAATACAGTTTTTTTACCCTATTAAAACAATAGACCTGCTATTTGGTTCTTTTGTGAAGCATGATGCAGACTTAACGGTTATTATGATTTTACTCTTTGATTAGCATAGACAAAGTTTTAGTTTTAGGTAAACGTACAAATCATGACCAATTGCCTTGTCAATATTTGATGGTTGGTATTGTATTGAAGTAGACATATATGGTAAATTTCTTTTGCAGGTTTTCTGGTACTCTAGCGGTTATGAGCATTGTTGGCCATGTTATTGGTCTTGGTGATCGTCACCTTGATAACATTCTTATGGATTTCATCACCGGTGAAGTTGTGCATATTGATTATAATGTATGTTTTGACAAAGGGAGGAGATTGAAGATCCCAGAAATTGTCCCTTTTCGTCTTACTCAGACAATTGAGGCTGCACTAGGACTAACAGGAACTGAAGGTATTTTCAGGGCTAATTGTGAAACAGTTATAAGCGTGCTCCGCAAGAACAAAGACATTGTTTTGATGTTATTGGAAGTATTTGTATGGGACCCCTTGGTGGAGTGGACGAGAGAAGATCATGATGAAGCTGTGATTGGTGGTGAAGAAAAGAAAGGCATGGAGCTGGCTGTTAGTCTAAGCCTTTTTGCCTCAAGATTTCAGGAGATTCGTGTACCTTTGCAGGTAAGCCCATTTACCAAGGAGTAGTTGTTTCCTACTGATTTAGGAAGTTTTAAATTGATTTTAACTGGTGTCCTCTGATACATCCACAATTGTTGAAGATAAATAACTTGGCTGTTTTACTTTTACTACAACACCAGTTTTAATGATGTTTGGTATAGTTTGACCTTATGACCAGGACCTAAATTTGCTGATTGCATCTGTCGAAGCTATCGGTGGTTTGTGTTAAACATAGCTTAACCAAATGAACACATGCATGCCACATTTGTATATCTTGAGAAAGGGAGGAACAATAAGCGTCTAATCTACGATTTGCATGCAGAAGAATATCCTCTTATACTTTGCATGCAGAAGAATGTCCTCTTATACTTTTGAATTTCCATTTTATATGATTATTGACGAAACCATCTATGCCCATGTTAGTTCTGCAAGAGATTATTCCTCAACTTTGGTTAAAGAGATAGATTAACAAGCCTAGGATTTTAAGTTATAAATTACTGTAAAACCTTGAGTTGGACTACAATAAATAAAATGGTGCGAAAATTTGGTGATATTTGCGGCATACTTTTATGGCATGTTAAGCATATCTCTCGATGAAAGATCAATGTGGTGAATGGATTTACTACTTATGACGATTAAATCTTTGTAAGCCTAACAGGAGTAACTAAAATTTTTGTTAGGAGCATCATGATCTTCTGGTTTCTACCTTGCCAGCTGCAGAATCTACTCTTAAGGTGTGAATTCCGTTTGTCTCCTACTGCGCTCAACTAGACATTGAATTGTAAAATCCGAGTCACCTATTTTTTTTCTAATTTTTAAAAAATTGCCAGAGATTCTTGGATTTGCTAATTCAATATGAAATTGTGTCTGCGGTCTTCTATCATGCTGATAAAGAGAGATCCAGCCTTCTGCAACATGAGACAACTGGGAAGTCCTTCGCAGCTGAGGCAACTACAATATTAGAGAAATCTAGGACATACTTTGAAGCTCAAGCTCATGAGTTCGCACATGCAAAGTCTTTGGCAACTGAAAAAGCTCTAGAGGCAGCTTCTTGGGTGGAAGAACATGGAAGAGTCCTTGATGCGCTACGAAGTGGTTCATTTCCTAATCCAGAAGCATGCATTAACTTGCGCAGCTTGGAAGATTCTCTGTCTCTGACAACTGCTGTTCTCGTCTCTGGAGTTCCTTTGACTGTTGTTCCTGAGCCCACTCAAGCACAATGCTATGACTTGGACAGGGAAATATCAACTATCATTGCTGAGTTGGATAATGGACTTTCTTGTGGAATTGAGACACTGCAAGAGTATGCCTTTGCTTTGCAAAATGTTCTTCCATTCAGTTATGTTACTACCAGCCCGGTCAACAGTTGGGCTCAAGTTCTGCAGTTCTCAGTGAATAATCTTTCTGCTGAAGTTCTCTCTCTCGCTGTAAGGCAGGCTGCTGATATTATGGCAAAGGCCCAAGGGATTGGTCTTGATTCAATTCAAAAGAGGCATCAAGATCTCTTTGGTAGCTTAGAAAGATATGCCATGGAAATTGATACGCTTAATAAAGAGTGTTCTGAACTGATGAACTCTATTGGTTCTGATACTGAAGCAAAGTCAAAAGAGCGGTTGTTATCTGCTTTTTTGAAGCATTTGCAGTCTGCATGGTATAGTATTAGGGAAGTTGATTTTCCCCTTAATTTTCTAGGAAAGCAGAACCTAGATGGCCCTAGGGATCTTGGAGTGCTGAGGGATATTGATTTGAATAAAGAAAAGGCACTATGTGTTTTGCACATAGTTATCAATGAACTGTACACGGATGTTAAAGAGAATTTGATCTCCATGTCCAAGGTTTCCAGCATAAAAACTAGCTGGAAAACAGATGGTTCTCGAGAGAATGATTTTGATATTGTCTCTCATGAGCTTGAAGAGCAGATTGAGAAGTGTATACTTCTTGCTGGATTTGTGGATGAAGTTAAAGAACTTATTGGTGTAGATTTAGCTAGTTTCTGTGCTAATAATGCTAAGCTTGTATCTGAGCACAATTGGGCCTCTAATTTTCAATCAATTTTGCATTCCATTAAGCATTTAACTGAAAACATTACTGGAACTGTTCTCCCTGAAATAATTCAGTCAGTTGTCTCTTCCAATGCAGAAGTAATGGAAGCTTTTGGATCCCTTTCTCATGTTCGAGGTTCCATTGATACAGCTTTAGAAAAGCTTGTTGAGGTGGTGCTAGATAGAGCATCCTTGTTGGAGCTCGAAAAAAATTATTTCATGAAGGTTGGACTCATCACAGAGCAGCAGCTTTCCCTTGAAGAAGCTGCTGCTGATGGTCGTGATCATTTGTCTTGGGAGGAGACCGAAGAGTTAGCAACGCAAGGTGAGGCATGTCGTGTACAGCTTGACCAACTCCATCAGGCATGGAATGAGAAAGATGTGCGGGTTACTTCTCTAGCAAGGATGGAGACTAATATTAGTAATTCACTAACTTCCTTGGAAGCATACTTCTCATCCTTGATAAGTTCTGAAGAAGATGGGGAATTGCACACAAAAGGAAGCAAGTCCTTCCTCTCTGCACTTGTAAAGCCGTTTGCAGAACTGGAATCTTTTGACCAAATGCTATCATCATATGCTTCTTTTGAGTATTACTCTAGTGGATCTTTGGGTACTCTATCAAATTTATTGTCAAGTTCTCCACTCTTTGATTCAGTATGGAAGTTCTCTTACATACTAAAAAACCATTCATTCTTCATCTGGAAAATAGGTGTTGTAGACTCCATGCTTGACTCTTGCATGCATGAGATATCATCTTCTGTTGATCATAATATCAGGTTTGATCAGCTATGCAATGTTCTAAAAAATAAGCTTGAGATGCATTTGCAAGAACACCTTGGGCAATATCTGAAAGAGAGGGTAGCCCCTGCTTTCTTGGCTCGGTTAGAAAGAGAAAATGAGAATCTCGATCAAAAGACTGAAGAAATAAAGAGCTTCATTTCTGAGAATGCAAATGACTATTCTGAAGCTGTGAGAAGGGTAAGGCTTATGCTTGAAGAATACTGCAATGCACATGAGACTGCAAGGGCTGCAAATTCAGCAGTATTTTCTATGAAAAGACATGTTGATCAACTTACAGAGGCTCTTCACAAGACTACATTGGAAATTATTCAGTTAGAATGGCTGCATGAACAAACCTTGCCAAAATTACTAAAAAAAAAGGTTTTTTTCCAAAATACTTTTAATGATAATAAGCTTTTAAAGACTAGCAGGGGAAAATTGTTGGAGAAGATGCAGTCTTCAATCTCCTCGGTGGCTAGATCTTTAGAGCGTCTACAAGATCTTGAGAGAACTTCTATTTCAGCAGAAGGGCAACTAGAAAGGGCTATGGTATGGGCTTGTGCTGGCTCAAATAGTGTTGGCACCGGTAGTTCATCAACAAAGTGTTCTGGAATTCCTTCTGAATTCCATGATCATCTATTAAGGAGAAGAAAGTTGCTGTGGACTGCTCATGAGCATGCATCCGATGTCCTCAAAATATGCACTTATGTGATCGAGCTTGAAGCATCTAGAGATGGTCTTTTATTGACTCATGGAGATAAATTCTCTGGACAGACTACTGGCGACTCTCGAACATGGCAACAAACTTACTTGACTGCTCTTACAAGATTAGATTCTGCGTATCACTCTTTTGCACGTGAGTTTCTACTCTTCTTGGGTATTCTTCTTCTCTGTTGGTTCAACATGTATCTGGACAGTCAACTGGTTGTCAGTAAATTTGTTTATGAGATTATAAGGTTTCTATCTATCTTAATTAGATGCTGAAAAAGAATGGAAGCTGTCACAGATTAAGATGGAAGCTGCTGCAAAGGGCTTGCTTTCTGCAACTAATGAGCTGTGTATTACATCTGTGAAGGCAAAATCGGCTTCTGGTATACCTTGTGTTTCTTACCTCATGAAGTAAACCACATGAGTGCTGTTTTTTTTCCATTATATATACATATATGCAAACCTAAAAGAATTGACTTCATATAGAAGATTTAAGATGATGGCATAGTTTGCTCATTAATTATTTGGCGTGTAAATGGGTCTAATTATACTGATGGATGAGCACATTTGAGATTTTATTTGCATTTTTTGCAGCTGATTTACAAGACAATCTCTTGGCCCTACGGAATTGTCTTTTTGATGCTAGCCTGGCCTTGTCTTCTTTTATTAGTGTTTCAGAAGGGCACACTGCTTTAACTTCTGAAGGTGGATCCATGCTTGAGGAGGTATTACACTATTTCATACTTCATTAAGCAGTATATCTATATTTTCCCGAAAAATAACTTGTTATGTTGATATAAAATCCAAATTGCTAATTAGAGTCTTTTATGTGCCTTTATTATTGTTTGAATGCTAATTCAACAAAGGTGGATGAGATATTTTGCTAAACTTTTTAATGAAGAGTGTGAAAATAAGATTGACTATAGTGACCTTAGCACCCTAAATGAAAGTAAAGAGATTCTTTTATAGGGTTCTGTTTACAAGTGAGAAAGAACCCAAAAATATTATAAATTTGTGTGGTGTGGCTTTTGTAACTCGGTTGCCTTTTATTATTGGCAACTTGAATCCTTAGATCAATGGAAGGAAATGAATTTTCTCGTTTATACCATCCTCATATTTAACAACAATCCCAACTAGTTAGGATAAGACTAATGATAATGATGATGACCATCCTTATATTTATTAGTATGAGTGCAGAACCATAATCTATTAATTCCACAAATGTCACCCAAATTCATTAGTTTTATCCAAATTTTAGGTTTGTACGAGATAAATTCATTTGAATTTAGATATAAAATGTACTCTTTTTTCAGGGTGAATTGGTCCAAGGGTCCCTCCATTGTTGTAACTAAAGTATGCCATGTCAATGATTCTCCTTTTATTGCTTCAATATATTGGGCCGTGAATGTCTTGTTCTAGGCTTCTAGCCGCTCCCTTGACCTTGTCCATGCATGTGTACACTTCTGAATTATTTTTATTTCATCTCAAATATTTGATGATTTTTTCTGTTTGATTTCATAGTTATTTTTATCTAGTATATGATATATGATATTTCATTTATAAATAAGGCAATTTTCAGATGTGCTAGTAAATTCAGTGGCATGAAAAAAAAACCTTATTTACCACTAACAATGTGGTTGAGTGATATTGCTTTTGATCTCCAAAGTTATGGTTCGTGGTTAATTGATGTAGCATTGAGATAAAGGCTAATGACAAATATCACAAATTAAGGCTTTACATTAAGATTAAGACCGTTCATCATGCACAACTTTTCATGCAAGCCCATGGGTATCCCAATGACGACTGCTCCAAAAAAACTTAGTTCTTCAAGTTCTTTTTCCTAAAGAAGTCCCGCCCTAACGGACCGACAAGTCTTCTCCTAAAAAGGACCCTCTATGCTGTGTGCCCCTACTTGAATTATTCGGTCAATCCTCCTAAAGTTTTAAGAGAATAATTAAAAAAAATTAATTTAAAGGCACCTTGATGGGTAGATCAACCATACCAATCAAGAAAATAGAAGTCTTCATAAATTGATTAATTTCTATGTCACTTTATTTGCCTTATTTGGTTAATCTAAATTTTCTTGTATTTGAAATCTTTAAATTTCATTTTATTTCTCTTATTCTTTAGGAAACATTGTCGTTATTAGGTTCTAAATCCTGGATGAGAAAGGTAGAGTGTTGGTTAGGTAGTCGACAACCAGCGTAAAACTTATTGAATAATCATGATATGAATTATTTTATACATTATGTTAATGCTAATGCTAATGCTAGGGCATTCGCTGAAAGCGACGCGCTGTATGCCATGAATACGACAAGTGTGCAAAGGCCACTGCACCGGCTCCCGGGTGCAATTTTAAATAGGGAAGGGTCCCCATTAATTAATGAAATTTAATTCAAAATTTAAATATAAATGATTATATAATATATATATATATATATATATATATATATTATAAATATATATATATATATATATATATATAATACAAACCTAAGTACAACGCACACCAACTAATACCAAACTCTTAAAACTAAAAAAAACAACAAACACATAGAAAATGCCAAAAACCTAAGCAAACCTAAGTAAGGCTCCTGGAAAACTCAAGCTCCTGGCAAGCTCAGCTCCCTACAAACCCTACAGCTCCAACTCCTTCAATTCTTAGCCACGAACACATGCAAATAAGTATACAAAAGTCAGCGCTGGGTGGTAAACAAAACTAGTACTATAAGCAGAACACTGATACGATAGGTAAAAACAAGCAGCGAAAACAAAATGCTGAAAGTAAAAACTACTGTAAGTAAAACTACTACTGCAGACAAGACTGGTGCTGGAACAAACAAGTAAGCAAAGCTATTATTGCGAGTCAAACGCTACTGCTAAAGGCAAAACTACAAGTTTATAGCACTAGAAACCAAGTGTTAACATAAAAGATGCTACTACTATAAACAAGACACTAATGGTGGTGTCTGGCCAGTGAAGTGTGCAAAACTACATATCTACTACAAAGTGGGATTCATTCATACCTATGTGTCGTTTACCCTAAGCGAAACACTCACAAGTAACTAACAGGTTACATTTGGGTCGAGTAGGACTCCCTCCTCTTTCAGGACAGTCCATTCGCATGACACACTTAGGAGCTGGAGAAGAGCTTATCACTTGAGCATGGTAGACCTCCTTCGGCCACTTCTTCCAAGCAGTCTCCCTTCCTGACGGGGGTGACCTCAAAAGTTTTTCTCTTAGTTGGACAAATCATTATTCATCTCAGCCGAAATCAAGTCTCCCACGTGAGACCTACCAAAATTCAAGCTAAAGACGAACATCTCTCCCATGAGACCTCTCTCAAGAATGGTTCATCATCGAGCTCAAAGATCAATGTCGAATCATCACTCGATCCCTGAACCCCTCTCGCTCTAGTGGGGAAACCCCGGACCAACTTCCCACCTCATGCCGACTTGATCTTCAGTCGCTTATGGGTACTCACTTGCATCATCACCTACAAGATCACCACACCACTGGACACAGCTGGCTGAGCTACATCAAAGACCGATAGTGCAACTACTGTACTCCATACGGGTTCTACTGTAACTCCCCAACTCTATAAATAAGAGGAGTGGGGATAAAAAAGAAATAAAAAAAGGGAGTGGGGATACCAGAAAAACACACAAGAACATACAGAAGGAAGACATATGAAAAGATTGGACTATTCCCTAGAAGAGGACAACCTTGTTCCTTATGTGCCTGTGGTCTCTTCACCACCAACACCTTCGAGCTCATTCCTACATTAACATCTTTTCTCTTCTTTAAGCGAACTTCTCGGTGAAGTTTAGAACCATCCATAGAAGGCTTCTCCTTCAGCCTTATCGCCAACAACGCAGCCGTCTTCGAAGACACCAGGTCTGTGCGGAAAGTGTAACCCGCAACCTTTTTTGCAAAATACATGCACATAATCAGAACGAGATAGAAAACTTATCTCATCAAGACAAGGAAGTCACCGTAAAAAGTTTTATAAACATTATGATATAAGTAAAAAGTCTTATTAACATTATGATAAATGATGTGGTGCTAAACAATCAATGACTCATTCTTCACCCATGCCAACATTTGTCTCTTGTTCAGGAGATAGCTTAGGAAGGACCAACTTCTTCTTCCTCAGTGCCAGTTTAGCAGTCGACACCTTCCAACCAGACAAACTCAAAACGAACTTCTCCTACTAGTCTCGCATGTTGTTTGCCATACCTACAATCTTGCCAAATGCATGGAAGAACTGGACAAAGCGCTCTTGAGATTCCTTCTACGTGAATACATGCCTAAACAAGTTCAACGACCATGACAAGTCGTGTTTCCTCAGCAGAGAAGCAAACAATACAATCACCATTACAGCGTTCGACCAAAGTTGAGCCGGAATTACTCTATCAAAATTCAAATTGTTTTCTAGCTTGACGCATAAGGGAAACTGCAGGCCCAATATCAAATGATCAACAAAAAATGACCAATTCCCCATTCAACATAGAGTTATTCAGCTCATCTTCCTTTGTCAACCATACAAAGTAGTCGACATGAGCAAAGCAGAAAGCATGAAACACATAGTTAGCATACTCCGTAAGGTGAGTACTCGATAATCCTTTCTCACTACAGAATCTACTCGTGCCCTTGCACAAACCAAACATGTTGGCAAAAATGTTTGAAAATAGAAGCAAAAGAGACAAAGCGAAGGTCCCATTCTCAGGTCCTACCTCTCCTATTTATAGTCTGAATCTGGCACACAAAAATCGAAGCCTCTCAAATCAAATTCAATGCAGAAGATCACACCATTCCCTCTCTTCATTACATAATCCGATGAACTTCATCGCACTTGCTCCTATCAATCACCGTGATAATTCTTAGAATCTATTGCACACCTGCCACCTCATCCTATTCGACGAGAAAAAAAATCTTTTTTTTTGCAAGATGCTTCTAGAAGCCAAAAGAATTTGTTCAAAAGGGCAATAACCCTCAACAAATACATAGCTCAAAAGAAAAAAAAATAAATCCATATAATGATTACATCGGAAGCGCTCCATCAAAAGATCTTTTGTGATACTCGGCACTAATCCTCTCATCTTTTCAAGGTACACAACAACGTATTGAGTACCTTGTAGGAACCCCTCATGCTTAGTTTGACTCAATATCGTACACCACTCGACTTCCATCAAGTTTATTTGACTCCACACGGTTGCCAACTGTTCATTTTGTGAGGTTGCACCTCTCTGATCAACGTCGCCTGTAGTAGCAACTCTCTCTGCCAACGTCGGGTGAGTTAGTTGCCGACTCTAAGGCTACCAATCGCCCAACAATTTTTTCGATGAAATTCGCTCTGGGGGAGGGGCAAGGTTGGTGTACAAGCTATATGAAAAGGTGTTCAACAACTGCTCAACGATCTCGCCATCATTCTACTCCTCAACCTCCACTTCGGCAACCACTTCAGTAACATTAAAATGCCACCAACAATCACATCCTCCTCTGGGGAACTCGTCTTCTTCAGAGCGGCTTCACTTACACATTTATGCATGCTCTCGAGCGGAAAAGAATGATTCCTCCCTTCATCTTAAGGCTCCTTCACGTTCATCTGTCATAGTAAGGGCAACCTGAGCGACTATCTCCTTCTTCTCCTCAGCAAAGTCTGATGATGACCGATCATCCTCATTGACAACCATATCCCCAACATTAGCATGCATCCTCTTTGATAGAGGGCCCGCAGAAAGATTTGTTGAGTCCACAGATATTCGCATCTCCTCTCCAATAATAGCTCTACTCGACATGGCCACTTCCACATTTGAGGCCTCCAAACCAAAAAGCAACTCGCTCTCTCTTAAAGGCTACCTTTTTTTAAGCACAAACCTAGAAGAGAGGTAAGATCCATCTCATCAAATTCACACAAGGCTCATGAGTTAGAAGTAAATGCAGGTATCTATTGGGTTCAAAGCCAGTATTATAGAGGAACTTGGTTATGGGACCATTCGGTCTCAAGTGAAGCACTCGTGCCACTATTCAGGGCAGAAAATTCGTATTTACTCACACTTTCCTCTTATTTATGATTCATTTATCCGGCCTTTTCGGCCTTTTATTCCAAGTTTTCGTATCTTCTCCCGAGAAGAAAATATAAAATAGGAAAATATTCTATACATGTTCATGTAGTGTTTTAGAAACAAGAATATTCATTTTCCATGTAGGTTTATTTGGGGAGTATAATTTTATCCTTTGAGAAATGAAGCAATGTGAGCCTTGCGCATTGCTTCCCAAATAAGCCTACAATTTGCTTGGTTTTGTCATTTTATAGTACTACACACTCCCCTCTAGCTCTGAATGAATTTCTAATTCAAATTTTATGGTTTGATTTAATATTTGCCGCAATAACTGGGGCATGAAATTCGCTTTTGCTCACCTATTCTTGTAATCATTGAATTTTTACTTATTGGTTTTCTTTTCTCTCCTAATAGTTTTTTGCTTTTTTGTAGTTCTCTTCAAGCTCTCTTTCCCGTTGGTCTTCCCTTTTCATTAATTCTTGTTGCTGGCACCAGTAGTTACTTTTTCATAAGTTTTTTTCTAGAGAAATACTCCTCTTCACACATTCTCATTCGTAACTCCTTCACCTCTAGGTCTTTACTTAGTCTTTGATTAACACTTGCATTCTTGATTTTCAAGTATTCTTTAGTCGCTTCACTCTTTATTTCTTATATTTTTCTTTTTTCCTTTGGAAAGCTATAAATTACCATTGAGTATATTATTATATTTGCTAGAAGTGATCACTTGATGTGGTTTAAATTTGACTAATTAAATGACTATTATATGCACACACAATATATATGTCCTGAGCGCTCTAGTTAGTTAAAACATCACTGTGCTTTCTATATTGAAGCAAAAACATGAATGCTTTCACTTCATATTGTGTTTAGTAATTTGAAAACATTGATTCATGAACTGTGATGAGAATGGGCCTGGATGTAGGATTTAGATGATAGTATTGTCAGGTGAAAATTTACTATTTAAAAATTAAAAGAGAAATTCTCTTCAATTAATTTGTTCACGGCATATTTTTCAGTAATGATTGTTTCTTATTCTTGCTTACGGCCGTTACTAATAGTGTTTGAATGTTTAGTTTTATTTTTTTGTGTTCTTAATGATCCCTGCCGACTACGGACAGGTTTTGGTGGTAACTGAGGATTTACATGATATCTATAGCTTAGCAAAAAAGGCTTCTGCTGCACATAGTGCTCTTATGACAGATCTTGCCAAGGTTACATCAGTTCGCATGAGTTAATTTGACAACATCTCAATTCTCAATATATTTCTTCTCTTTGATACTGCATATCTTCTTAACTAATACTTATATTCTCTGTAGGCAAACATGATCCTTCTGCCGCTTGGAGCTTCGTTGTCTTCTGACGTGGCCACGATGAAAGATGCGATACCCAAGGAGAAGGAAAGCAGCATAGATGTTCTTTCCATTCATGGACAAGCACTGTATCAATCCTACTGCATCAGACTTCAGGAGGCCTGCCAATCTTTAGCATCCTTGGTACCTTCCATAACATACTCTGTGGAAGAACTGTATTCCATGCTGACCAAGCTTGCACGGGATGCCAGCACTCATGCAGGCAATCTCCATAAGGTATCATCCTCATTGCATTTACCATATGTTTTGTTATGCATGTTATTATTATTTTTTATATCAAACTCTGCACCTGTTGGGTTTATGACACTGGATGGAAACTCTTTTGATTCTCCCTAAACTAATACATAAAAAATAATCAAATTCTAAGTGCGTATATAGCGTGATGAAAAAAGTGTGATTTTACAAGAATGAGTGTTGAAAGTTTAAGCACAGTAGCCTAGATGCATTGGGCAACACTAGCATGTTAGTGTGGAACAATAACAATCAGCAAGAGAAACTTAACTAAGAATAGGAAAGTAAATTTAAGTTAACAGAAAAGAAATGATGATTGCCAAATCAATATTTTTGTGGTTTGACATCAATTGCCTATGTTCATTTCCTAGGTAGCTATCTATTTTGAAATCTATTAACTCCCTCTTTTGCACCGTGCTGGCAGAGGATCTTTATACACCAACCCACTGTCTTTACTAGGTGAGTAGAACCACTCCCTCTAATTCAATTCTAGGAGATTCTACTCATTCTATGTTAAAGGCACCACATCAAATGATCCTTAGGGCTTGCTTATAAGGCTATGGAAATACAAATACAACAACACCAACAAAAAGCCTTTATCCCACTATGTGGGATCGGCTACATAAATAATTTTTCTCCATTGTGTCATGTTAAGAGTCATTCTCATTTAAATCTAATAAAGAAATATCATTTATAATATTTTCTAACCAAGTCTTTAGGTTTACCTCTACCTTTCTTAACATAAGCCAAATCTAATAAATCTATTCTCCTAACTTGACCATTGGATGGCCATTATTTTATGTGACCAAACCTTCTAAGGGACTCTCTCTAATATTGTCATCCACTAGAGCTACTCCAACCTTGTCACTTATATGCTTGTTTCGTATCCTGTCTTTAAGAGTAAAGACACTCATCCACCTGAGCATCCTCATCTCTATGACACTTAACTTAATATTATGCTTCTCTTTTAATAGCCAATATTCTGCACCATAAAGCATTGCAGGTCTCATAACCATTATTGCGTCTTGGAGTATTCGTGGCGGTAGAGAGATATAAAGTTTAACATCTTAGCATTGTACGAAGATCCAGCACACAAACAGATAAGAGAAAGGGTGTAGCGTTCATAAGAGACACCAGAGTTTTTACATGGAAACCCCTAAAAAATGGGGAAAAACCACGGGGCTTGGCTCAGTTTGAATGGTTCCACTAGTATTTATTGACGATTACAAATGAGGCCCTTCTTAGATGGAAGGCCTTGGCTTGATGTCATAAATGTACATAATATAGGGCACATTACATGGTCGGATTTACAATAATCAATATAGACATGTTTGTTTGGTCGGTATGACCATAGTTGATAGCATTAACGTCGGAAAGACTATAGCAGGCAGGAGACCGGGGTCAGAAAGACCATTGTCCGGCAATGTAGGTCGGAAGGACCGTAGTATGCAGGAGACCGAGGTCAGAAAGACCGTTGTCTAGCGATGTAATTCAGAATGACCGTAGTAGGAGATGGAGGTTGGAAGGGCCATAGTCGGTAGGAGACAGGGGTTGTAGTAGGGCGGTACTCTGGTAGAACTCTGGGCCTCAAGTGGTGGTCCGGCAAAAGTCTGAGCCTCAGGTGGTGGTTCGGCGGAAGTCCAGCAGAACTCCGGGCATCAGGTGGTGGTTCAGCGGAAGTTCGGGACTCAGGTGGTGGTCCGGCAAAAGTCTGGGCATAAGGTGGTGGTTCAGCAGAAGTCCGGGCCTCAGGTGTTGGTCCGGCAAAAGTCCGAGCCTCAAGTGGTGGTCCAGCAGAACTCCGGGCCTAAGGTGTTGGTCCGGCAGAACTCCGGCAGTGGTCGAGGAGGAGCGAGGAGGCAAGAACGATCTTCGATATCTCTCTTGCTCTATTGCTTAGAGCTCCCTTTTCAAGAGGGAGGAGGGGTCTATGTATACATTCATAGAGTGACATGGCCCGTAAATAGGTGGGAGATCAAGAGCATATGGGGAGTGGCTTGGATGGACGGCCGATGTTGAATCCCTTGATCGTGGACCGTTTGATTGACATTTGAATGTCATAATTCAGTGATCTTGGGCTCATTGGATTCGTCTCGTCGAGCCGCTCGATTCGACTATAAGCACGTCATGTTTGAAAACCATTTGGTAATCCAATTTGTGGTTCGAACCCTTCAACAACGCTTCGTACCCTTGATTTGCACCCATTTGGGCTCGGAGTGAGTCAAATTTGGTGTCGTTGGGTTCGTATTTCTGAGATGTTCAGTTCGACTGTAAGTTTGCTGAAATCGGAGTTCGGACGGTCCCAATTTTAATTTTGGAAGTTTCCAACTTGATTTTGCTTCAAGATTCGTGCTCGATCAAGATAAATTTATGATGATATATCAACCATCTTTTAGAATTTTTCCTTAAGTTTGAGGGTGACCTTTCTAACACACAACAAGCCTGATGCATTCCCCACTTCAACCATCCAATTGAATTCTATTGATAATATTCCCATCTATTTCACAATTATTCTGAGCAATAGATCCAAGATATCTAAAACGACTCTTATTAATAACTTGATCGCTCAAAGTCACAATCTCCCTACTAGATCTATTACTAAAATTATACTTCATATATTTGGTTTTAGATCTACTCAAACAAAAACCTTTAGACTCTAAAGTTAACTTCCATAATTTAAGTTCACCTTCAACTCTCTCTCTAGTCTTATCAACACGAAGAATATTATCAGCAAAAAGCATAGATCAGGGTACAACCTCTTGCAAAGTCTAGTGAGAACATCCACGACTAAAGAAAAAAGATATGGGCTTAAGGCTGATCCTTGATGTAATCCAACTGAAATAGGAAAATACTTGGTCAATACCACCTTGTGTTTGAATACAAGTAATAGATCATCCTCCTTATTCTCTCTATACTTCTCCATCAAATATCTCAATAAATGTATAGCTATGGAAATACAAATGAAAATATTTAATCCTTTCAAGAATTGCAATGAAGAATAATGAAGAACTCTAGAATTGATGTGTCACATCCCATTTTGGCCCCCATGCTAAGGTCAATCTGGAGTATAACAAAAAAGGAAAAATCTAAACAAGCCTTTCTTACTAACACCTATTCTAAGCTACTTCTATCATGATTAGATGAGTAAGAAGTAATCTTTTTAAACTCTCTTAACATATCAAGTTTTATACATAACAATAGAAAGCATATAATATATCTAAATTAAACATCAAATATACTCGAAAGATATATAGAATTTTACTAAAAAATTTTAAATTTATTTACATACCAAAAAGTTTGTACAGTTATTACTCAAACCTCTTTTCAGATCTCTTTATACACCAAACACATATGTATACAAAAAAGAATAGTCACCTCTTTCCACCTAGTGCCCTACTGACTCATTCCCCTTTCCTACAATACAATCACTGTTAATGAGCTAGGGTTTAATGAAATACTCAAGTAATGTATAAGAAATAATAATAATATTTTGACAATTAATTTAGAACACATTGGAATTGCATACTTATCCCACTAACTTTTCACTACACATTCACATCCAATCTCATATGTTGGATTCAAATCAACTCTTGCATGTGTATATCGGTGGATTTCTTTATTAGGAATATAAAAATAAACTTTTACTTTGTTGCTTAGGGGTAGAATACATTATACGGTATTACATGAGGAGAGAAAGAGATGAAGTTTTGATCAAGGAGAGCTCTAAATGAACAAGAAAAACCCTCTTCAATATGTAACAATAATCTCACTTTCTTTCATTTTGAGTTGCAATTGGTCCTATGTTTGTAAGCAAATTGAGTGGCAAATGTGGACAAAATTCCTTACATGCATAAAAAAATTCTCCATATAACTCTTTTCAAGGTGTAACAGTTAATCTCTCTTTCCTAAACTTACCTATAAAATAGATTCTCTACCAAGGCAAGCATCTCAAATACTCATAAAAGAAAACGTCATTGAGTCTGGGTTGTTCATATCTAGCAAACATATTCTTATCTTCATAAATATAGCAATTTGAAAGAATTCGCTAATGGTTGCAATGGAATTCGTCTGATAAGGATATATTTAATGATCCAACAATCATTCTCTCTTCGCCTTACCAATACATGCTGGAATGTGTATAACAAATTATATATATAATATATGCTAATTGAAGAACGTTGGTAAAGCCAAGCCCACGATGTCCAGCACGTCCATGTCGTGACCAAGATAACCACTCAAATAAGTCGTATAAAACAATTCAGAAATGAAAATTTCAGTTTTTCACGCTATCTTTTCAAGAGGAAGTAGAGTTTTACCTGGCTTGAACTCTCTAGTTTTCTGCTCGGCAATCATGCGCCTACGGTCTCGATTTGACTGACCGCCGCTCACTCGGCCTCGTCAAACCCACCTGCACCGAGTCCGGCTTAACATGAGCGAAATAAGAGCGGCCCGCTATCTACGTCCGACCTCCTCACGTTAGCAAACGAAGCCCTCATCGCCGACTTCCTCCTATATGCGAACGAAGCCGAAGCCCTCACCTTCCTCCCTTCACGCAACGCCAACAAGCTTCCGCACTAAAGGCTCAGTCCGCCTCCGCCTCCTTTGTGCGAACAAAGCCCGATCTCCTCTGCTTCAGCCCTTTGCGTGAAAAGGGTAGACGTGTCTCACCCACTTCGTTCAGCAAACCTAAGTCATTTTTCCTCTTTCTGCTGAACTATTTGTTTGATCTCCTGTGAATGAACGGACTACTTCTTGATTTCAAATAGCAAGCGGGGAGGAAGATTATAAGGAGATCATGCAAGCTATTTAAGTTATTATATTGTATTATAATGACATAAACTCTTATGTTAATATTAAAAAAAAAAAGGAGGGAGAGGGGAGAAAAGAAGAATATATACTCGCAAATATTAGCAAAATCAGATGCTCGCAATCGCCAATCAGAGTCTACAATCATCGATCAAAGACGGCGAAGACAATTCCGGGAC